TATAGAAAAAAAAAGAAGAGGATGTGGCACTAGAGATATTATAGCCGATCTTGGCTGAAAGCGGAGAGTACCAGAGGAATGTCTGTTTCCTTGACTATGCAAAGTCATTTGACTGTGTGAATCACAACTAACTGTGGCTGACTCTGAGAAGAATAAAAATCTGAGAACACTTGATTGTGTTTATGAGAAACTTACACTTCAACGAGGAGGCAGTCATCAGAACAAAGCAAGGAAACACCACGTGGTTAAAAAATCAGGGAAGTAGTAGGCCAGGGATGCATCCTATCTCCGTATCTCTCCAATATATATGTAGAACAGATCATCTGGGAGGCTGGGCTCTACGAGGAAGAATATGGAATCAAGATTGGAGGAAGATTCATCAACAACCTGAGCTATGCAGATAATAAAACCTTTCTTGCCGAAACTGAGGAGGACTGGAGGCACTTGCTGCAAAAAGTCAAGGACTACAGCCTTCAATATGGACTAAAGCTCAATATCAGGAAAACAAAGATTCTCATCAGTGGGCCAATTGACAGCATCATGATAGATGAAGAGATTGAGATTGTTGACAGCTTCAGCTTGCTTGGCTCTTCAATCAACGCTTGGTACCAGCAGCCAGGAAATCAAAAGACAAATGCATAGGGAAAATCTATCAGGAACCTCTCCAGACTACTGAAGATGTCTAGAGACTAATGTGCTCCTGATACAGGCCATGGTCTTTGCAAACACTTGCTATGCATCAGAGAGCTGGGCAATAGACAGCGGCAATCCCTTTGAACTGTGGTGCTGGAGAAGAATATTGAATATACCATGGACTGCTAAGAGAACAAAACAGGTTTGTCCTAGAGAAGGTAAAGCCAGGCTGCTCCTTGGAGGCAAGGATTCCGAAGTTACATCTGACATACTTTAGGCATGTTGCAAGGAGGGACCAGCCTTTGGGGGGCGACACCATGCTTGGGAGGGGCAATGTAAGAGAAAGACCCTGGATGAAATGATTGACTCAGTGATTGGGGTAATGGGAATGGTGTGTCAGAGACAAAGAAATTAGCTCAAGATAGAGCAGGGTTCAGAGCTGTTGTACACAGGGTCGCTATGAGGTGCAAGCGCATCGAGGCAACATAACAGTTACAATCACCCCAGGGAGAGAACCTATGGCTGAGAGAACTGCAAATTATAAAACCTTAGACATTTCTCAGGCCAACTCCCATCGGAGGCCACCAGCCGGGGTCGCCCTACTGGCCACGAAACTCTCGATCTTTACAGCGGCGGCGGCGCAGGAAGAACTTCCCGTGCAGGGGCGGTACTTCCGGCAGCGCACTAGGGCAGGAACCGCCTTGGCCCCACTCGTCCTTTCCTTTTACACGTGTGTGTGCTGCTCGTCCCTCCGCGATGCTCCCTCTGCTGCGCTGCGTGCCTCGCGCCGTGGGCTCCGCGCTGGCCGGGCTCCGCGCGACTGCGCCCTCCCCGCCGCTCCGGCAGCTGCTGCAGCCCGCGCCTCGGCTGGACGCACGGCCCTTCGGGCTGCTCGGCGTCCGTGCGGGCTCAGCGCGGAAGCCCGGCCTCCTGCAGCGCCGCGGGCCCTGTTCCTGCGGCTGCGGGGCGCTGCACACTGAAGGTCAGTTTTGCCACCTTCTTAGGGGTGCACCGAGGGCCAGATCTCTGGGTGAGATAGCGGGACCCCGAGGGCCCGGGAGGTAAAGGAGAAGTTTGGAGCAGAAGAGCGGAAGTGTCTTGTCCATTGGTTAGCGAAGGGCATGCTATTAGGCCACGTGCCACTTTCCATTCCCCACTAGATCCTCAGCCATCAGTCAAGTCGATTTCAACCCATAGCGCCCCTCCTTCTGGGCTCCAGAAGCGATAAATCTTTGTGAGAGGACTCAGTCCTTCTTTCTTCGCAGAAGTGACTCGTGGTTTGGAACCACCAACCTTTCCCTTAGCAAGGCGACACTTCACTTACTGCGCCACTTGGGCTGTTTTCCTATATAGGAGAGAAAGAATTAAACCTTGAGCGCCAGCTTTTTTTGTGAGTCTCTTTTTTTTTTAAAAGTTTTCTTTGTGTGTGTGTGTGTGTGTGTATATGTATGTATGTGTACAGTCAAATCAGATCTGACTGGTACAGGAGGAGACTGTTCCTCTCCAGCAGAGCATCTGGTGGATTCAAACCTCGCACCTCTGGGATTGCAGTGTAGCCTCTTGCCACTAGGCCACCAGAGCTCCCCGTGAGTCTCTTATTAAAAAAAAAAAACGCGAAAGGCGCAACATTGTGGCTGAAATTTGGTTATGTATGCAGACAAATTGAAAACAGGAATCGAGAGTCCTTTTTATTAGGTCTTTGCTTCGGATATAAGGCCAAGGACTCAAGGAAGGGACCAGAGAGAAAGAAAGCTTAAAGCAGCTTTATTAAGGGGGATCCTGGGTGGGATTCCTGGGAAGACTCTTCAGTCTTAGTCATTGTTCAGTTTTCTTTTGTTGTGAAGCAATTGAAAATACCGTAACTTGGATCAGACATACTTTAATCTTTGAACTGACAGCCTTGTTTTTAGCACTCTAAAGACGTCTTTGACTGCTTTTGATTTCTTGCCTGCTGCCACCATGGGAGTTAACTAACTGAACAGCCAAGTGCACATAGCTGGCTGCAGTAATTTTGGATATTATACTTTAGACTTACAAATTTTCCTTTTATGTGTCATCTGGATTTTCATTCTAGGAGACAAAGCTTTTGTTGAATTCCTGAGTGATGAAATTAAAGAAGAGAAGAAGATCCAGAAACATAAGTCCCTCCCCAAGATGTCTGGCGGTTGGGAGGTAGAAGTGAAAGGGACAGAAGCTAAATTAGTTCGGAAGGTTGACGGAGAAAAGTAAGTACAGGATCAGGGGCTTGGAAAGTCCTAGCCAATCCATGACCTTACAAGACCTACCCCCGATGCCAGCAGATAATGTGATAAAATATTTTCAAAAGAAAGAAAAACTGTATTTGGACAAGTGCCTACATTCCAGGACATACACAGAACATATAATTGGTGTGGACTGTGGAGATAAAGTAGCACGAAAGTATTTGGCTGGAAATCTACTGACCAGTAAAAGCAGACTATGTACCTTTACTAGGCCTTGTTTGGTTTAGGCCTGGATTCAGAAATTCTTATGTCACTGATGGAATAATCCATTTGATTTCTGGTGTACAGCTCTGTGTCCGAGTAGAACAAAGCCCCTGCTTTTTAATGGGTTATGGATGATAAAAATGAGGTAAGGAACAGTGTCAACTTAGGACAAGATTGTAAGGGTTGTGGTCAAGAGGGGAAGCTTTCAATTAGTTCTGCCCCTTCTCTTCCCTGTTGTCAAATTATTGACTATTCTTTACTGCTTTTAAAGGACATGATTCTGTGGTTTTCTGTATTCAGAAGACACTATGTGTCTTGATCACAAAGTCAGTTCATTTTTTTGTCATACCCTTACCCCCAAAAGGCACATTTGCTGTTACTCCCATCATTCTCTCCCATTTCCATCCACTACTCTACTCTCTGCTGTGTAGATTTAGCCACCTAAATGTTCCGGGTATAATTCCCTTCTCAAATACATGCTTTGCAAAGACTTCCTCCCTTTTCACTGTGTTTATGGTGTTCCTTGAACCATAAACATTTTACATTTTGAAGAAGTCCGGAATTCATTTTTGTCATTTGAGCTTTTAGTGTCATATTGAAGGAACCATTGCCTACACCAGGCTCACAAAGATTTATGTTTAATTTTGAGTTTTGTGTCAGGTTAGCCATGTGTAAGATTTACTTTTCCGTTATTTTATGGTTCTTTTTCAGCCTGTTGGCATTTTGCACACACAGATCAGTCCTATCTTCTGTGACTGACTACACCATTTCTTTAGTGCTAGATAGTCATAACCAGTTGGGCCTTTATAAACAATGCTGCATCCTTTCACATCCAGGTCACTGCTAAACCTCAGACCACCATTGTTCTTTTTGTCTTTGGTGGGACACACATGCATCTTTATTTCAAGTAGAGTTTTTGAGGACTAACCTGTATTCAAGTAGCAGTGGTTGACGAAGAGCCTGAAGGTGGGACAACCACCATTGTTCTTATGTGAAAACTTTCCTAGCAAGGCAGCTAATGAGCCTAGCTTCAAGGGGCAGTATATCACTGGAATTTTTGGCTCCAGCTTTGGAATGTGATTTGTCAGGTGAGGGTGCTTACACCTTAAAACATGAGTTGGTCTCTCTATTCTGTTTTGTGATTAGAAAAGCTCCGTCAAACATGACGAGGGCTCCCTTATCTGACTAGGGTGGCATGTAGGCATCTAGGTTTTTTTTTTGTTAAGAAATCCTGAAATTAATTCCAACATAGAGCTGTAATAGAGACATTGTTTCAACAAATACTGTTGGCTGTGACTTGATAGTACACAAAAACAACGTAGTGGGCCTCAGACCTTGTCACTAAGTTAACCTATGACATACCTCTAACCTCACAGGCTGTTGTTTCCCTTTGTCTTTCCAGGATCACGGTCACGTTCAACATTAACAATAGTATTCCACCAACATTTGATGGAGAGGAGGAATCCTCACAGGGGCAGAAGGTTGAAGAACAAGAGGTAAGCACTGTAACTGAGCCTTTCCCTCTGATTCCTGGCAGGCTACAAAGCAGCAGATCCGTTTTTCATTCCTAGGAGTATTTGGATGGTCCAAATGGTTAAGTTATTGGCTGCTAATAAGAAGTTTTGAGATTTGAGTCCACCCAGAGGTGCCTCAGAAGAAAGTCCTGGTAATCTCCAGCTGAACGGCCCTAGCTTTTGAAAGCCCGATTGAGCACTGCCCTGCTGATGCACACAGGATTGGCATGCGCCTTAATAATTCGGTGACACCTTGTTAGCATCTGAAGAAAGAAGGCAAATCCATAGAGCAACAGTTTGTGGCCAGTTGGCACCGGGGCTGGCTGTGTAGGGCCTTCTCCTTCCCAGGAACTGAAGGAACGCATACATTGCCACCTGCAGGCTCAGGCTCTAGAGTGTGGCCCGTTCCGCACCATCAACTTGGAACCGACCCAGAGCTGCCCCTCCGGTGGGTTTTCAAAGGCTGTAAATGGCACAGGAGGAGATGGCCCATCTTTGTCCCATGGAACTGCTGATGGATCGGAACAGCATGGCAGCTTCTTAACACTGGGCCACCAGAGCTCCCTAGAACTCTTCTTATGATGAGCTGTCAGATTATCATTAGTCACCTAAGCAAGGTCAACTGAGGTTTTATTTAACAGTTGACAAGGTGAGATCTTTCTTAGGTTGACCAGCACCTGGGTGGTAGTCTTCTGTTAGGAAGTGTATCTTTAGTGCAGAAGTGAACCTGTGTGAGGAGGCCCCACAGGGCTTTCTGACTACTCAGGCCCTGTGTTATGTGTGGCCTGTCACAAAGCACAGCTGTCTGGTAAGCTTATGTCTTAGCCACCATGGCTAGCATGTGGACTTAATGGGCATTTGTGACCTTCTTCCAGCCACTGGGATGGCAGTGAGGCAGCTGCACCAGCTTTGATCCTGGACACTGATAGAAGATAGTGAAACTGGAGCGAGATCCCTGATGTTTAGGTCAGCTAGAAATATGCTAGGAAGGACTTGGTCCAGATCTCACTTAACTGGCACTTAGGTTAATATCACAAGCAAGCAAAATGTTGCTGAAGATCATACAAAAACAGTCACATGGAAAATTGCTAGAAATACAAGCCAGATTTAGAAAGCACTAGTGGTATTATTGCTGATGCTAGATGGTTCTTTGCCGGGAGCAGAGAATACCAGGATGTCTATTTGTGTTTTAGCAACACTACAAAGGTATTTGGGTGGATCTTAAGTTAATGGTAACATTGAGAAAAATGGGAATTCCAGAGCACTTATTTGTACTCATGTGAATCCTATATGTAGACCAAGAAGCTGTTTGGACACAGTTAAAGGAACACTAGATGGTTCAGAGTCAGGAAAGGAGTGTGTCAGAGATGTATACCTTCCCTTACTTTTCAATCTGTATGCTGAACAGATTATTTGAGAGGCTGGGCTTCATGAAGAATGGCATCAGGATTGGAGGAAGACTCATCAGCCTGTTTTGCAGATGACACAACCCTGGATTTGGAGTGCTTGCTGCAGGAGATTAGGGATTACAGCCTTCAATATGGATTGTGTCTCAACATCAGGAAAACAAGTCTTTACCACTGGGTCAGTAGGCAGCAGCATGAAAGGATGGAGAAAGGATTGAAGTTAACAATTTGATCTTACTTGGATCCACAGTCAGCATCATCCAGACTGCTAAAGAACAACCATGTCAGTCTAAAAACTAATGTATGCCTGATCCAAGCCATGGTCTTAAAATTGCTTACTATCCATCTGAGAGCTGGACAGTGACTAAGGGTAAGAAGAATCGATGCCTTTGTGTTGGAAAAGAGCACTGCCAAGAGAACAGACAGGTCCATCCTGGAGAATGTAAAACTAGAGTGCTCCTTGGAAGCAAGGACGGTGAAACTCTTTGTCTCATGTTCACTGGGCATGTTATTAGGAGAGGCCATGCATGGAAAGGTGGAGGGTAAGTGAAAGAGGAAGACCCTCTATGAGATGGATTGACACAGTGAGACTGTAGCAGTGGGGTCCAACATTTTGGAGATGGTGAAGTTGGCTCAGGATAGGTGATCAAGGTTCAGAGCTGTTGGTGTGCCAGCTTGCTATGAGTTGTAGTCAGGTTGACAGCACATTAACAAGAGTTGAAAATTAAGCATTACAACTAAGTATCTGATAATCTGCTATGTAAAACATGGTCTGGAACTAGAGAGGACCAGGAGACAGTTTAGATCAGTCTCCTGAGTGAATTGGTATATAACTTTAACACTAACACATATTTTGGACTCCTTATTTGGCAAGACTATCATAAAGAGAAGCGTGGCGTTAGGATTGGTGGACGATCTATCAACAATCTGCGTTATGCAGATGACACAACCCTGCTCGCTGAAACTGAGGAGGACCTCACGCACTTACTGCAGAGGGTCAAGGACTGCAGCCTTTAATATGGACTGAGGCTCAATGTCCAGAAGACAAAAATTCTCACCACTGGACCATTCGGTAGCATCAGGATGGATGGTGAAAAGATTGAGATTGTTCACAGCTTCAGTTTGCTCGGCTCCACGGTCAACACTCTTGGCACCAGTAGCCAGGAAATAAAAAAACGTATTGCGATGGAAAGTCTGTGGTTAGGAACCTCTCTAAAGTACTCAAGAGCAACAGTGTCTCTCTGGAGACTAAGGTGTGCCTGACACAGGCCATGGTTTTTGCAATCACTTGTTATGCATCAGAGAGTTGGACAATGACTAGGGAGGACAGAAGGAGAATTGACGCCTTTGAGCTGTAGTGCTGGAGAAGAGTACTGAATGTACCATGGACTGCCAAGAAAACAAATAGATTCATCCTAGAGAGGGTTAAACCAGGCTGCTCCTTGGAGGCAAGGATTCTGGGGCTTTGCCTGACATACTTTGGACATGTTGTAAGGAGAGACAGGTCTTTGGAGAGAGACATCATGCTGGGCAGAGTGGAGGGACAGCGCAGGAGGGGAAGACCCTCTGAGGTGGACTGATTCAGTGACTGGGGTAATCGGGATGGGTATGTCAGAGGCAATGAGATTGGTACAGGATAGAGCACGGTTTAGGGCTGTTGTACATAGGGTCGCTATGAGTCGCAAACGACTCGACGGCACATAACAACAACAACATCATAAAGAGCAATGTCATTTTAAAGACTGAAGTGCAGCTGACCAAAGCCATGTTTTCAGTTACTTCAAGTTGCATAAATGTGTATTAGGAAAAAGGAATACTTTTGAATTGTGGTGCTGGCAAAGATTATTGAATAGACTGGACTGCCAAAAGAGCAAACATCTATCTTGGAGGAAGTAAGATTTGGACATGCTGCCAGGAGCCAGCAGTCTCTGGAAAAAAAAATCATGCTTAGGAAAATAGAGGGTCGGTGAAAGAAAGGAAGACCCTCAAGGAGGTAGATTGATACCATGACTACAGTAGTGGGCTTGAGTGCAGGGTGATTATGGAAATGGAGCAGAATCGGGCAAGGTTTAGATCTTTTGTAGATAAGGTTGCTATGTTGTATGTTAGCATATGACTTCTAAAAATGGACAGATAATATCCTAATTAGTGGTCACCACCGGATCTGTGGTCTAAGTAACCAAGTCTTGTAATCCATGGGGTTTGGGGAAGTGTGTGTGCACCGACGTACTAATTTCTTGTATTTTCCCTTCCTAGCCTGAACTGACCTCAACACCTAATTTTGTGGTTGAAGTTATAAAGAGTGATGGCAAGAAGGCCCTTGTGCTTGACTGCCATTATCCAGAGAATGAGGTATGTGGGGTGGAGCACTGGCTTTCTGTTGAATGCACTTGGGACCTTCCTGGTCCCTTTTATGGGACATTTGCACATTGTACCTCAGACGAGGAAAGGAAGGGAGGAGAGGTGGTAAGACAGCAAGGTTATAATCTGAGGGGTCTCCAATGGAATATTCCCTTTTTCCCCTGAGTGTTTTCTGTTTCTTGTAAGGTTGGAGAGGAAGAAGAGGAGGAGAGTGACATCTTCTCCATTAAGGAAGTGAGTTTTCAGTCCACTGATGAGTCTGACTGGAATGACACAAAGTATACACTCAACACAGATTCTCTGGACTGGGTGAGTGCTGGTGAAGATGGGCTGCACTTGTGCCTCGTAGGAGAGAGTCCTAATCTGAGGAGAGATAAAGAAGCATCTTAGTAAGAAGCATTACAGATGAAATCTTTTTTTCTAATGTAGTAAATGTTCCTCCTTGTAGGCTTTGTATGACCACTTAATGGATTTCCTTGCGGACCGAGGGGTGGACAACACTTTTGCAGATGAGCTGGTGGAGCTCAGCACAGCCCTGGAGCACCGAGAGTACATTACTTTCCTGGAAGACCTCAAAAGTTTTGTTAAAAGCCAGTAGAGAAGAGCATACAGACACTGAAAACCTTCATTTTAGGGCAGGTGAACAAAACCTAAAGGCCAGACGATGATAACCTACTATCATAGGAAAAAAGTCAAACTTAAATTATTTCTCTTAGACTTCTGTTTACTATTTTATTCTTTTGCTAAAATTATTTTTAATTTTTTTTGGTTTTTATATATAAAATGATGGACAATAAAATTAGTTTATCCCTTGCAGGCAGTTATCTATTTCTGTCTTTCCCTTCCACCTACATCACAAAACAGTCAGCAGACAATTTGAAATTTTTTAATACAAAATAAGTTATAAATAATAAAAGATTTGTATGTACAGTGCCATTCTTGGATGGAAGGAGTTGGGTTCCAACCCTGTAGAATGTTGTTAAATCAAGGCTGACTCTACAGGATGACAGCCCAAGTATCACAAGCCTGGATTTAAGCAGAAAAACGGTTAGGTTCATTTGTATTTTTGTCATTCATCAGTCTACAGATCAAAGTTATATAACAGTTAGAATTCACAAATATGAGATGATGCAAATTCAGTTACAATCATGAAATCAGTTTAGTGGTGTTTTGTCCAAGGCCACTGATGACTCTTGGCTCTTGATCTCTGCTGGGCCCCAGTCCTGCCCCTTAAAACAACTACTCCTTTAAATCACTAAGTCTTAAAGTGAGGATCAAATTCTAGAGATGAGCTGATAAACATCTCCACCCTTGCAAACCCTCGACTGCTTGGAAGCACTGACAGCACAGCAAGGTGAGGTCTTTCACCTTCAGAAACACAATACTTTTAAAGATGTGAATTGCTCACTACAGGTAGGAATATTTGCCCAGTGAGCGCTTAGCCCCATTAAAACTGGTTTCCAGTTTGACAGTGCAGCCTTACCCATGGCAATGAATTTTAAGTGATCATGGACACATTTTCCATATACACTTTACAATACATGTAGTTTCATCTGGAAGACGCGGACCTTGCTTAGGAGCAGTTATTTTAGCACGTTCCATCCACACATCTCTTAGGTTGGCACCAAAATCACTACCTCTCATGTCTTGGATTTGCACGTACACCATCTCTAACTGCTACACTTCTACTTGACTTTGACCATCCAATGCTGGACTGCCCTACAGCTTTACCTCTTTAAATCTTGAACCAAACAGTCCTTTATGTGAAGCCAAGTCTGTTCAAGTACTAGTTTTAGAGCCTCTTGAATGATCTGCCTTTCACAGTAACTCAGATCATGCCAAATGCAGTTATGCTTTTTGTACTCTTATTTCTGTTTTGCTATGATACTGCTACCTTCGTCTCAGTGGTCTCCCTGCTCACTGTGGTGCCAGCAGTGCCAGTTACACCTCCCTAAGACTGCTGCGGGTGCCCCTGCGCTCCTCCCAAACCCCATCATTGTCTTGACTTCACACCTGTTTTGAGTTGCAGGGCACTGCTATTAGGTATGACAGAGGTCCAAAAAAAGTGAGTGCTGTAGTCTTTGCTGTACACACGTCAGGCAAACTGCTACTTCCTCTAACTGCCCTTCCCATTCCCACCAGCACTTCCTAACTCTGCTACTTTTACGCTTAGTGTTTAATCCTGAGGTAGAAGCCATCTAACTGGTGCCTCTTTAACTCTCCTACATGCACCTTACTTCTACAAAACATATTAAACATTGTCTTCTGTGTCAGTTACTGGGAGTGATAAATGGTCCTTGCCTAATAATGCAGGTAGTAAGAGGAGATGGCAGCAGATGTAGTGAAATGTCAAAGCCAACAAACGGCATTCTCGAGCATGTATCAGTCCCGAAGTTGTTATTCCTGACACGGTGGGAATCAAGTCAACAACAGATCACTGTAACCATGGAATCCTAAGGGACACTTAGCTTACCAGACAGCTCATGAGCAGCGTGGGCTTCTCCTCTGTTTCCTCAGTGACTGAAAATGCAGGTGTGTGGGGACAGTGTATACTGTGGTCATGGACACAGTCTTCTAAGAAAGCTCGGAGCTGCTGCTCTGTCAGTCCTGGAGACTGAACAATAAAAAAGTTACAACCCTATCTTAGTTACACTGGAATCAACAGATTGAAAAACTTGATTTTTCCTCTCAACCAAGGTAAATCTACCCATCTTGTAAAGTTGATTCCCTGAACCTTTACATACGGCATTTGGGTTTATGAATGTGTGTGAGATCATGTAACCCATTTCCAGTTAGTTCTTATAAGTGAGATAGATCAATATCAAAAAAGATGATTTGCTAATAGTAAAAAAATTGAAAATCTATTGAATTAGAAGAATCCTAAAGCTATGCACTCAGTTTCTTATTTATTTGATAGCAATAAAACTGGACCACCAGATGCTGCATGACCGTCTGACTTCTGTAAAAAAGACAACTTGGATCTACACTTTGAACTTGTTATGTGCCCTTGAGTTGCTTGCGACTCACAGCGACCCTATGTACAACAGCCCTAAACTCTGCTCTGTCCTGTGCCAATCGCACTGTCTCTGACACTCCCATCCTGATTACCCCAGTCACTGAATTAATGCACCCCACAGAGGGCTTCCCCTCCTGCACTGTCCCTCCACTCTACCAAGCATGAAGTCCTTCTCCAAGGACCGGTCCCTCCTTACATGTCCAAAGTATGTTAGACGGAGCCTCAGAATCCTTGCCTCCAAGGAGCCACCCGGTTTAACCCTCTCCAGGATGAATCTTTGTTTTCCTAGCAGTCCATAGTACCCTCAATACTCTTGTCTAGCATCACAGCTCAAAGGCATCAATTCTTCTGTCCTCCTTAGTCATTGTCCAACTCTCTAATGCATAACAAGTGATAGCAAAGATTACGGCCTGTATCAGATGCACCTTAGTCTCCAGAGACACACCATTGCTCTTCAGTTCTTTGGAGAGGTCCCTAACAGAAAACTATGTACTTTGAACCTAACTCATACATATTTTGTTATTTTGTGTGGGTATATGTGTACCATTGAATTAGAACCGATTGGAACAGGAGATTGTCCCTCTTCCAATGGAGCATCTGATGGATTCAAACCAAGCACCTTTGGGATTACAACATAGCTTCCAGCCACTAGAGCTCCCTTTAAATTTATATATTTTAGGAAATTTTACAAGGTTCCTACTATAGCTTTCCTCCCAGAGTCCCCTGTTTACACTTGGGGTCCTTTTCTGTCTACTGAACTTTGTGTTTAGGTTCATTCTGCCTTTTGGTTCTTGCATGGTTGACTCAGATTTGCTATGGGACAGCAGAGATGGATGTTTCCAGTTGTGAAGTAGGATCTCTACAATAACCTTAAGCAGTGCTAAGTGTTTAACAGATGGCTCTAGGGAGACCCTGTTTTGTGATGTTTGTTAGTTTCTGTACTGTGGTCAATTGCAAGCCATGACTTGAAATTGACTAGACAACAAAGTTGGGAAGAGATGGCTCTAGCACACTCCTGAAGGCTCTGTGGAAGCAGATACACGAGAAGTAGCCCGAAGTCTGTGTGTGAAACACTCACATGAGAGGGGATGTACAAGCCACACTGGCACGTAACCACACCGCCTGTTATTCTCAGGTTGTACCTAAAAGCAGAAATGGGATTCCAGAGCATTCGAGTCTACAGAGACACCAGATCTGAATCCCTAAACCTCTCCAGGTGTCAAATGTGGGAGGGAATTCCACTCACCTTGGAGTGGGGTTTGGAAAACAATACTGAAAACTCTTACTTTGTGCACACGGGACAGATGAGGGGGTTTGCTTCCCACTCAGCCAGCATGGTGCTCAGACACTGTTCATCAAACTGCAAGCTCTTCTCATACTCACTGATGATGGACTGTTCTGCAAGGCAAAGGATGATGGTTGTACTTGACCTTCATACAAACTGCCCTGTCCTTAATGCTGGTATGCTTTACCTTCAAGGGCTTCCTCCATACAAGAAAAATATTCAGGCCTAATTCACAACCAGGTGGGTTGTTACTGCTCTTTAAGGCTAGTGTCTTGTTGAATCTCTCTCTCTCCTATTTGTCTCCTCATAAGCAAAAGAAGTAAAGTGAGGCTAAGGGACAAGCAGACAAAAAGTTTGACACAAATCTCCAGAGACCCGAGAGCAGAGATGGAGAGGGATGGTCTCAGAGGTACCAGGAGAAGAAATAACATGATGCCAAGCCTACCCTTCACAGTGACCTATGCCCCAGTGCTGTTCAGAATCTGTACATTCATTAACATGCAACACTGAGTTTGTGGTAGGCACTGGGGGAGAAAGAGACTTCAATCTTTAGCTTACACGGCAGAGCACTTATTTCTGATGCCGAAGGAAGCTGCCCATTAATTGCAAATCTTTCTACACCAAATTTTTAGTTCTCTACACATACTGTTTCAGGGTTTCTTGTTTTTGTTGTCAAGAACCTCTTTATGTATTTTTAAAAATATTTTTTTCATTGTTGCACATTTTCTTCCCCTACATATACTGCTTTATTCAAGCCTTATAACAAAATTATAGACTCAGTCTCTTTGTTTTGCTGTGGTTGTATGTGCCTTTGAGTTGGAACTGAATTTTCAGAGGCAGTAAATCACACAGGAAGACTGTTCATCTTTCTCCTGTGGAGGAGCTGGTGGATTCTAACTGTGTTCCTTTGTGGTAGCAGCACAACTCCTTACCACTAAATCACCAGATCTCTCTATTTAAGAGAGGAAAAAAATGAAACTTAGTTAAAGGCACATCTATGTGGAATAAATGAGTTAATTCTATAAGGTGCTACTAAATTATGCACCCCACACAGTGCTATGGATGTCTAAGATAGGTAGTCAAATGACCCCAAGAGGGTCAGTAAAAAATGAATGAGAGTGAAGGCACTTCAGTTGTATCCAGTCAAGTAAGGATTACTATTAACTTATCAGTAAAGAGGTACTGAAGGACAGTGGAGTAAATGTGCAAACTGGGCTCACAAAATTGATTTTATTGCCCAACTCTACCACTTAACCAGCTGTGTGACCTGGATAAGACACTACTCTTTCTTCTATACAACATGTCTTGTAGGGTAGTTATAAAAACAATATTCTACAATGAGAGGTTCTTAACACAAGATCTAGCATGTTGGAGACCTTTATGGAAAAGACAGTTACGTCTCCAAAGTATAAAGATTTCTAGACATTCAACTAAAGCTGGAGGTAAAGGAAGGGAATCAAAACCCAATCCTGTTCATAGGAAAGGTCCACATCAGAGTAACTAAATATAGACAGAAAGGTCTACTCTCAAGGGTCACCTTGGTCAATCAGCTCCTGCTGGATTTCCTCAAATATGGCCAGGTCCACTGGCTCCTCCACCTACAAGAGAAAGTGGAGCTCATCAGAAGTCTGAGGTCTCAGGCAGCCACCAAGTCCCAGTATGGTCATACTAGAAACCTGGCCAAGAAAACCCAGATTGCATGCCAGGAATCTAGTCCTGTAGTTTATGCTGACAACAGGGTGGTGCAGTTAAGGAGAAGAACCATTAACAAATGATCAAACTACTTAGTAATATGGCAGTACCACATTGGAGGAGATAGTACATAAATAGCAGTTAGATAGATACATGGTTCTAACAAAGTAATAAGGAGCGCTCTAGTGATGTAGTGAGTTGTGCTAATGGTAAGGTTGGCAGTTCAAGTCCGCCAGGCATTCTGAGGAAGAAAGATGGGCATTCTTTTCCCATAAAGATTTACAGCCTCAGAAACCTGATGGAGGGTCACTATGAGTTATAACCAACTCAACAGTACTAGGTGGGCCAAGATGATAAAGCCACAGTATAAAGTTTCTAATCCCTGCAAACCTCAGTTTCAGAGTTTGTGAAGTAGAGATAAAATAGCTTGAGAGGGTTATTATGACAGGAAACTGATAATGTAAGGCATGTAATTAACATAATGTAGGATAGAAGGCACTCAATAATGCATCATTATTATATAGTATTTTCAAAGTACGTTCCCACATTTTCTTATATAATCCACAGTGGTAATGCTATCTTGTTCACTTTATAAATGTGAAAACTGATACTCAAAGAGGAAACAATGACGTTAAAATGATCCATCAGCAAAACCAAGGGTTAGAATTCCAGAATTCCTGACTTCTAATTCAATGCTCTACCCAATATACCACTGTAAATGGTTTCCTATCCATAGCCAGCTCCCAACTCTGGCTTGGATTAGGATCAGGGAGTTCCGGGAGACCTTTTGAAAAAGAGATTCCTAGATCATGTGTGCTGAATTAAAATTTCCAAGAGACAAAGAATGAATGAACATACAATTTGTTTTACAAGTGTTGATGATACAATGATACTGTATGTCTTGTCTTGTTTTTAGAAACCACTTCTCTCTGGTGGTCTAGAGGGTAAGGAGTCATAACTGCCTATGCAAAGGCAAGTGGTTCAAATCTACCAGCCACTCTAAGGGAGAAAGTTGGGCAATTCTTGCAGTATCATTTACAGCCTCTGAAAACCACTGAAGGGTCAGCTATGAATTGCTTCTGACTTGCTGGAAGTAAGAAGAAGAAGAAGAATGTAGAATAATTGAACTTTAAATATGGAAGACCTGGGATGAAGTTAGAATCTTGATTAGGGGGGAAAATAGGTGAGTTTAGAGGATCTGGGTAAACAAGTTCAAAGAGGATATTAGTTCTTGCTCTTTAGTCCAGTCCATGCATACATTCCAGGCTGACCTGAGCCTCTGGATCACTGTCCACTGCTCTCAAAGCATTCCATTCCTCTTCCATCACCTCTTGCACTAGAAGGATATTTTTAGGTCTTCCTGGCATAGTGCATCCAGACTGGCGGTACTTGTTCAGCAGCCTGTCCCGGCTGTTTTTCATTCTTTCCAGGCATCCCTTGGAATAAGGAGAAATGGAATAGGGCATGAGGGTGCAGGGAAATAAAAATCATTTTCTCTTCTTAAAAGCTCCAAGACTAGTTTTTAAAACACTGAAGGAAATTTATAGATAAAAATGTCAACTACTCTAGCTTTTCTTTAAATAACATATTTTAAATTTAATTAATTTTAATGAAAGTTTACAGAGACTTAGGGTTTCCAGTCATTCATTGTTGCACTTTTCTCCCTGCTCTCCCCTCCCCCCCATCACTCTTCTCCTTGAAAAGAAAAACTCTTTCATTGTTATGGAATCCCTCCCTCCAAGTCCACTCCATTATGCAGCCTTCACGCCAGACTTGTGTAATGACAAGAATACCCACTCATAATATCCCTTTTAAACAGTTCTCTCACTCATCTGTTTCAATGCAGTATACATCATTCTTCCCCTCCTTTTCTGTCTTCCCTCAACCCTGATGTCAGTCCCTTTTTACAGTGGCCCTTTGCAATATTTGTCCTTTTGTGCCTGAGATTTCACTCATCAGTGTCCTCCAGGGTAAATAACATTTTTATTTTATTATACTGGTTTACTTACAAAGTTCTTATACATTGCTTTCCACACCGGTTCTTTCCTATTTCCTTTACCCACCCCTCCATTCATAAAATTTCAACTACTCTTTTTATTTTTTTACCTGTTCTTTTCAATCCTTGTCCACACATAGATATGTGAAACTATAAGGCTTTGTAGCAGCCATTTCCCATTTCACTTTTTTTCATCAATGCCAACTTTCTCAATGATTATAAAATGTAAGCATTTTAAAATGATTATAAAATGTAAGCAACATTTATGTTGCTTCCTAATTTTTTACTCTAGCTGTGGTTGTGGTAATTGCTTGCCTATATCAAGTGTTTCTTTACTTGGAAGTAACTATGTGTCCGAGGATCCATTTGGCAATATCTGGATACATTTCTGGTTGTTCCAATGGCAAGCTTACCCACCTCTAGCCAGGTAGGAAGAGCGGCTGCTTTTGCAGCTCTGGCAGCTTCGTGGGTAAGTAGTTGAGCTGCCAACACAAAAGCACATGGTTCGAACCGACCAGCTGCTCTAAGGGAAAAAAGATGGGTGATCTGGTCCTGTTCCATTTACAGCCTCTAAAAACTCGCTGGAGGGTCAGCTATGGTCCTTTCCGACTTGATGGTCCACAAACACAATCTAGAGACTAAAATGCTGATTAAGCATTCTACAATGCATAGGGCAGTTTGCACAAAGAGGAACTAAGTATTCCCCTCTAAACGTTAGCTCCAACGTAGATCCAAGGTTCCAAGAGTATACATATAAAAAAACAAAGAAACAAACAAATAAACAAAAAATATAAACACCAAACAAAATCAAGAAAAGAAATCTTACTCTGGCAACTAAGGTGAGGTCAAAGCTGAGGGGTTGGGAAGTAGACTCTGCTAAGGACCTCCGTTTACCCTTCTCCAAGGCGCAACCCTTCTCCAAGTATCTTTCTTACTTCCTTCATACGCAGGAGGTATACAAAGTGCCTCTTTCGCCTCCTGAGGGTCAGTTGTTGCCGCTATCACGGTTGTTGTTGTTATGGACCGTCGCTGACCCTCCAGCAGGTTTTCAGAGGCAGTAAATCGCGCGGCGAGAGACTACTTATCTTTCTCCTGAGTATTATTGTAGAGGTGAGGCCACAGCTACGTTTCAAATATCGCAACACAGGCTTTCTAAAGCCACACGAGAGGAGACCCGGGACAGCAGCCGGTCAGTGGGCTTGTCCCAGGCTGCTGGCGAGAGGTTCCGCTTCGAGCTCCGTACCGGCCACACAGAAGCCCGTGAGGAGAATACTCACGAAATGGGTTAAGGAAGTGACTACGGCCCAGCTAGTCACAAGCCCCACACTCACCTGCCTGAAAGCCTCTTTCCAAGACGGGGAACCCATCACTTTGTAGAGCGAGCGGTGAGGAGATTGCGAGGACTCAGCCATGGCCTTTCCGCGGGAACAGCCACCTGCAAGCCCCGCCCCTCGGCACGCGCAGATTCCTGGGAGTTGTAGTTTTTCCATGTTCATTACTTCCGGAAAGCAGGGGATTCTGGGAAGTCTTTCACCGGCCCACCCCCAGAGAGATAAAATTTTTTTTCCCTATAATTATATTTTATTAATTTTCATAAACATTTACAGAGATTTTGGGTTTCCATTCATTCATTGTTGCACTATTCTCTC